AGCATCAATCCAGTGACAGTCCTGATCCAAATCCTCATATGGGAACTGCATCTCAAAGCCACATACCGGTAACTGCTGACTCAACAATAATAAACAAAAATATAAAAGAAAAACAACATCTTTCTTAATCCACATATTCATTTTATTTCTCAGGAAAGATTAATTAACAGAGAGATGTATTGTTTCATATCAGAAAATATTACAAGATTTAAGTCATCTTACTACACAATTTGGCTTCATGGGTCTGCAGGAAAACAGCACACTGCACCAAGATTATTCAACTTTAATATTTACTGTTTTCAGAACTTGAACATTGAATTATACTTTTACAGACAGTTTAATGCAACGAGAGTTGCATTTGATGTATCCACAACTTAAAAGACAAATTAATATCTGAAAAATATTTTACGGAAGAACAGAAATCTAAAGAGGACTAATACCTTTCAAGTGTATTTTCAATTTGCCATTTCCATCAGGCTTTTTGGTAGCCTACACCTCTGATTTGCATTTCTTGTTTCACTAATACCATAAACACTATAAATAAATCTATACACTGATTCTGTTTCCAGTGTGAAACTAACATGGGAATAAGTCTCTGATCTACTTTAAAAACTTATATTAAAAACAATGCCAATGAGTGGACTCATACTGACATAAGTATCAACAATGAAATTTCATAAACAAGTTTTAATGATGTTCCATTTATGATACTGGCAAATAAAGATTTCGGGTCAGTAAACATGTACTGAAGTCAACTGAACATGCAAGAAAAATATTTCTGTCAAAAAGTGTACACAGAAAATGTACAAATAATATGTCAGAAAGTTGACCATGAAGTTAAACTTACATAAGCGAAATTATTATCAATTATGACCCTTATGGATCAAAATTAACAAACATTCTGAATCTATTACTTATTTCAAGCTTGAACTGAAAGTTAAAATGTAAAATTTCTCAATGAGACAAAATAAATAACTAAATCATAACACTACAGGCATTAAACAAATACTTGCCTCATATTTAAAAATACCGTACTTGGCAAATTAAACACCCTGCACAAAATTTTGAAAACAAAATGTCAAGTGTCTTTTATCAGTGACCTAAATATTCCATTGGCTCATATAAGATAGAGGTTGTTTTCTTGATATAATAATGAAGGACTTAATATCCAATCATAATCTTACTATACCTCTCCCGAAGGTCTGAAAAACCATCCAAAACATCTGTATGGTTGTGGTAATTTTACACACGCCCTCATTTCTGGGTGCAATGGAATCAACTCTTGAAATGTACCACTGAAGGAATGTTTCTGTCCTGTGTGGGATTCTTTTGGTAAATTTCTCTACTAAAAATGGATTAGAACAAAGTCAAAATTTGAAATCAACCATCGCCAATGTAACATTTTGCAGCCAAGTTCACTTAATGTAATCTCCCATGGAGGAGTGGTCAGTCCTTCAAACAGAGAGGTATCACACTGAAAAATATGATTTTTGAATGATTCAGGGAATTTGAAAGCATATATTGGCCAAAAAATAAATTGAAAGGTAGACTATCTTTCAAAATGTATGTGCCCAGAGTGCTTAATATTTAGAATGCAGTAGATATATACATGTAACCAACTTACACTAGAGATATCAGGGATGCTTGACTGCTAAACAAAGGAAGTAATGTTGTAGGGATACTGTGTCATATGATAGTATGTCTTGTAAAATAACTTGTGTGGTATAGCAAATATTCTGATGAATATTAGTAAAATATGTAAGTAGGGTTGTGGGAACCAGATTGCTTATTTATCAACATGTACAGGATAAATCACTGCTCCTATTCCAGGTTGATTAAAATCCGACCCCAAGTGTGATAATGCTGTATTCCAAGTTATGTTGTCAGTTTGTTTTTAGCAGAAATACAACACCTTACTCACCACTCACTTTCTCCTTCGTAGTCAAGATGATAGATATTTCCATAAATTGAAGATAAAATAACCAAGATATTTTTTTTCAGACTTAAATCACATCGCCTAATTTAAAATAGAGTGCATTAAAAACAATGGTTTTGCTGTTTGTTTTGGGCCCAAAACAGGCCATCAAGACACAAGGATACTTTCTAAACATTACAATTCACCAATGAAAACCCCTGTTCCTGTCCTTTCTACAGCAAGATTCGGAATGTGGATTAATCTATTTATTCGTCTCACATCTGTATTGAAAGTTGATCTGAATGTCATAAGGCATCTGGAAAAAAAAAGGTCTGTAACAAATATTGAATTTCAGTGTGAATGTGAATCGACAGACATTGCATCCTGTACAGCACTCTGCCTAACTTTTGAGTGATGATTTGTTTCAGTATCCAAACCATCATATATTTATTAAAACATGTTGCTTCAAGGACTTGTACTCTGGGCAGTTTTAACACTACGTACTCGTCAATAATGTTATGCAATTTCAGACGTTATTAAAGCCCTTATTCTTTATTCTACCAGAACTGGATAGTAGTATTATGCAAAATAATTAATACTTAAAACCACATTGGTGTATACTGTCTAAAAGTGCACCCTTGCAATCCAGAAAAATATTCAACATGTTTAAGTTAATCTTATTTTTGTTGAGTTGATATTATTGTAAGTACAGATTATGATGAAGTGGATATATAATCACTTGAATTCTAGGCAGGGGAAGGTGCAGAATCAAATCCTTCACTGTAGACACACAGTCCTTGCTTTCAACACTGACAGCATTCATACACAAGACTATTGTAGGTAACACATAGTGTCAGCATCATCTATATCTCAGTGGTGGTACATGTCATCATCGTCTCTTCCTGGAATCCCCACTATGGAACAATCGAGGATGCACTACAGTCTGTACATGGAATTAAATCTGAATACAATTTTCAGCAACAACAAAATCTGTTAAAACAGGTAACCCTTTCAAAAACATATTTCTTTATACAAGGACAGTGCCTTCAAAATTGAGTGGAAACCTTTGTAGAAAGGGGCAAAAAAGACATTAACTTTGCCAGTTTCACAAAGAACAGTAACACGAATTTAGGAGCAACATATATGAGACTCAAACTATAAAAGTATATTATCTAATAAAATAAGAAAGCATTTTGGATCCAAAAGAATCTGTTCTCACTTTGGCTAGGATTTAAAACAAAGGGAGGTAACTCTAATATACATCCTGCAGTTGGTTACCAGAAGAAACAAAGTTGTTCTTAACGAAACTGAGCATGTTTATGGCTTATGTCTCCCTCACCAAAACCATCCCAATATGTACACCCAGAGTCCCCACCCACCAGGCACCAACACAGACATTGCATATTGACCGATAGTCAGGCACAAACTAATATACAAACACGCCATGGCCAGTAAAACACAGATACCATCTGAAACACCATCATGAAATCACAGAATTCTTTTATTTAATTCACTTACAATGTTTTCTTTACAAACTTCAATTCTCTTTAAATTTGACAATTTTCAATGATTCCCCCCAAACTAGTTTATTCATATTTTGATTTTCATACAATTAAGACAAAAAGATGAGAGAAAATATGAACCTGTCTTACTGAAGCAAACAAAACTGCTCTAAGCAAACATCTCATTGTAGCTAACCTGTATCACAGATATGTAATTGCACATCAGATATTAATTCTCCTCATCCTGGCATCTTCACAGAACATCACTCTTCCCCTATTAAGCACTGAAATACAGTCTTACTTTATCATTGTAAACTGCAGATCAGTTTAGAGGGGAAAATATTTTTTTTCAAATTTGTCAAATTTTTAAACATAAAATTGAACTTGCTTGAAAATTAAAAACAGCTGTTGAACAAGAGTTGATATTACCATTTAGTATATCAAAGGAAAGGGTAGATGAAAAGACACATTTACATTCCAACCTGACCAATCGTAATCTCAGCACATACACACTCTTAGATATCCAGATTAATTCGTGATTTGAAACAGAAGCTAAGCAGCACATGACAAACTGGAATTCCACCGCTAGACCAAATTGAGGGCAATATTACCATCACATACTTGACTGCTCACGCTCTGATCAAGTCCTTTGTGATACCATGTCTATAACACCGCCATCCTCGTCCAATACCTGCAGCTTAATGATGCATAACACTGATAGAAACTGTTCCCACCAACAGATTCAGCTGTTGGTGACACAAAACTTGCCCAGTCAGAACTAGGTGCTGAGTCTTAAACTCTAGAGTATTAATTACAGGGTCAGATGATACTATACATCAATAACTATCTCGAATCCATGTATCAATACAAAACTATATTTAAATGGGAAAGATACTTCCACAGTTTAACAATTATGACAATATTTTTTCTTAGGCTGTGTCAAGAATACTACCGAATGGATAAATTTAGTTTTGTTCACTTTACCCAGTATTTCCTATACAGTTCCATAAGTTACTCGGAAAAAAAGGTCTGACTTTTGTGTAGAAGTAGAGCAGGGATGGGCAGAATTCATAAGCCACATTAGTCGAAATACATTTAACAGAGGGCAGTCATTTACGTGTAGCTTTTGTGTACCACGGTGTATAATCAATTCCTTACTATTATGTCTAAGCCTGAAACGATTCACCACAATATTAAACTCAGAGTCTGATATTAATTCCTGATGTATACTACTCACACTTTGCTAAGGATCACAAAAATTCACAACTTTACTTAAACGTAGATTTATAATTTGAAATTATATCCATCTAAAACTAGATAAATAATAATATGGTAACTCCTCTTTAGGAAAACAGTCACTTTAATCTAACCTTATGCACTTGAGGCATGAGTAACCATCAAAATGGTTTTCATGGCACCAATCAACCATTTTGCAAATCATGGCACGGGTCATTGACAAGTACACAACACCTGTCAATAGCAGGTAGGGTATCCAAAAGATGCAGTGACATACTGAAACCTAGGAACCATGCTTACAATAAGCTTAGATATTTAAACCAAATTTGACCCCACATCATAGTTTTCTGTTGAATCAATGATTTGATCCTTAGCAAAGTGTGAATAGTATAGTTTAAAATAGCAACTGAATCGACCCTCATACGTTCATCTTTTAAGGTGTCGGTTATAACAAGGATCCAATGCCTTTCATTCTCAGTTTCAAACACACTGCATCACATCCAGCTGTGGGTGTATCATCTGAGACCTAACAATGCTTCAGTTCCCTCAGTCATTATGAAAGTAGATGTATTCAAGTATACACCCTTAAGTTATATTTCACTGGCATTCATGTTACAGACCCATATGTTGTTGTTAGAGAAGTCAGCATTTGTTTGGAAGAAGAGGAGGGATGTGAGATATCATATACAGAGAAGAGTTCGTAGGAAGGATTGCTGAATACTAACAGCCCCTACTGTCTCTCACATCAGGCTAATATAGTCAGGGACTATAATCTTCCAGGAGCCACTTGGTAGCTAACTGAAAGCAACATGTTTTTGTGTTGAGGTTTCCAAAATCTACGTTTACGTTGCCAAGATTATAAGTATGTTAGACACTTTCATACTAAAAATGATTCTGACAAATATTCATTTCAGAAAAGCTTTGAATCTGTTTATTTTCTGTAGCTTGGGAAGTGGTAAAGCTCCCTGAAGATTATCAGCTTGATGAGATTGAACAAAGAGGTGTCTCCTAACTGGACTGAATCCCGATGTCTGTAACCCGTCCTACGTGGATGCATGCACTACCACTACTCCGGTGACGTCACTCAGGTACAAGGATGGGAACGCTCTTGTCCTCGGTCAGACAGCTGTGGTGTGTGGTGGTTCCTGGAGAGGCGAGGTTGGCGGCAGCAGCGGCAGGCTGCAACATGATGTGGCAGCTACGACAGACACGCACTGCCTCCTCCAGGTGCTGACGTGGCACGGGAGAGAAGTAGTTTGAGCACGTGTTGCAGTAGATGCGGCCACAGCTCCTGTACAGTAGAACAATTTGTTAGGAACATCAGATGTGAGTTGCTTGTTATCATGGTAACATCATACTGTTCAGTGTATCAGTTTAATTGTCAGTTGAAACACAAGGGAGGTTTAAAAGACATCTGCACATATTTATCACTTTGACTCTAGACTGAAGCCCATTTCTGGTTGTCCACGCCATGATATTGCTGGAATATTGCTATAAGCAGTGTAAAATCATACTCACTAAATACCACCTATTATCCTATTCAAATGTAATGCTAAAACAGAGCATCACTGTGTGTCTAATGCCCTGATTCCCTACCTGCAATGGTGTTTCCTCCTGACGAGACTGAAGGCGTAGTCACAGCCAGCACAGTGAGTCACTGCATGGTCCGGCACCCACAGGGTCATCTTGGACTCGCCGTCATCTACCTGCTCCCAGCTTATGTCTGATGCTGGGTTGCTCACATTCCCCAGAGAGTGGAAGTCTCCCCCTTCTGTTGACTCGGGCAAAGATGCCTAGGAAAACAGAGAAAGTCCCTTTAAGAATTTTGTTTACATTCGTTTCCCTTCTGCCTAGCCCTTTCTGCAATGTTAAAGCCCTAAATGAAGCAAGTCTTGATTTCCTCAAACTCTCCCTGCTCACTGGGGCTCCTTTTCAATTTAAAAGGAATTGTTATTTCCATCAAAATTACATACACTCAGAGACTAAGCAATAGTCTTTTGTTTTGTCTAAAATCAAGATTAAGAGGTTCCTTGTTGTAACAATAATGTTCCAAACAAGGTACTTGGTGGTCCTTTGATAATGACACCACAGCAAAACGCCTGATATTTGCAGGACCCTCCTCCACTTCTACAGCAGCATCACCAGGGTGCTGTTGTACACATACAGTCTCAGCTTTTAAGTGGTCACAACTCACAGACCTTAACACAGACCTACAACAGATACAGAGTTTGGTGTACAACATGTCTCATGTTATTGAAGGCAGGTGTTTGCTCTGGATCAGTGATATCTGGATATCCTGATCTCCGGCAGACTTACGATATCATCTCTGTAGTCTGGATATGTCCTGCCATTCCCCGTTACTGCAGCCATTCTGCTGGATTATTTTGCGAGCGGCAGCCAACTGTATCTCCAGAATCTGGACCCTGCGCTTGTACTCCGACTCCAACTGGTACATGCGCTGTTGGACAGGGTCCACAAAAAGTTGTCAGACCATCTTTGTCCAAGTGCCGTCCTAAACCATTGTAATGGCGGCTGAGAGGGGACTCCGACATCTGAAGAAACAGAGTAACAACAGAAAAATGGTCAATGTAGTGAGAGCAGAAAATGAAATGTGATTAAAAATGATTTGAGTTGAATAACATAAGGAAGAAAGAGTTCAGGACAGACTTTAGGGACTCACATGAACATCCCATCTGGTTTCCAGACTTGCTGATTTCTGCTGAGGTTTGTCATTCGTTTTGCTTTCAGAATAATTTATTTCATTAAGAGTAGGTGAGTTTAGTTTTACGCCACACTCAGCATTATTCCAGCTCTATGGTGGCGGTCTGTAAATAATCGAGTCTGGACCAGACAATCCAGTGATCAACAGCATGAGCATCGATCTGCACAATTGGGAACCGATGACATGTGTCAACCAAGTCAGCAAGCCTGACCACTCGATCCCGTTAGTTGCCTCTTACGACAAGCATAGTCGCTTTTTGTGGCAAGCATGGGTTGCTAAGACCTATTCTAGCCCGGATCTTCACGGGTATGTTTCATTAAGAGTCAAATATGTTTAGGATATCATATTTGTTAGACATGATGTTACAGATATAATTCTTACTCCTTCAACTTATTCCTTCTTTCGGCATTCATTTTCTGCAAGAAGGAGTAAGATTTTCTCCATTCACCTGATGAAGGGGCAAGTATTAATTCCGAAGCTGATATAAAGACACTTGCCAGAATGAACATCTATCCTACGTAAGTACATGGCATTGAAAACTGGAAGAAGCATCAGACATTTAGATAGACAATTTCCTTTCTGAACAAAAGGTATTGAATAATACCCTGACTGCGGTAACATTCAGACTTGAGATCAGTAGGGTTGCCTGTTGTAAAAATGTACGCCATGTCAAAAGCTCAGTTTCGAAACAAAAAATTGGCACACTGCATAAAGTCGATTTTTGGAGTCCTGTAATTGCTAAATTGTGGCAAAAAGTGGAGTAAAACCCAACTCACTCATTCTAAAGATTTGCGATGGTGAATTACTTCAATCCCAACAGAGGCAAAGACAAATATCTAAGCGAGTGAGTTGAGTTTTACGCCGCTTTGAGCATTATTCCAGCAATATCACGGTGGGGGACACCAGAAATGGGCTTCACACATTTTACCCATGTGGGGAATGGAACCCAGGTCATCAGCGTGACGAGCGAACGCTTTAACCACTAGGCTACCCTCCGCCCCCAAATATCTAAGCTTCATTGTTACATCATTTCTCACAATCAAACATGGACAACACATGGACAAGCTGTCCATACCTTGCCATCCCCAGTGCCTGGTGTAGGCGGACATGTTGAGTTTGGCGTTCTGGAACTGACAGGTGTGGGGAATGGAGATGTTGAAGGGGATGGACTTGCACTTGTCTTGTCTTGCCGTGAGCACATAACATTATTGCAGTTGAGACGCATTGGGATACAGTGAGACAACTGTCTTAAATCTCGGCTAATCGAGCGCTTGTCTCCGAAAGCGCTATGTACATTAGAGTCACTGATATCTGTTGTACTGGTGCTAATACTTGTGTTCTGATGTTTCAGGTAGTCCTTCGATTTCGTTTTCTCTTCATCTGCAACACCATTCACATCTTCGTGGCAATTGTTTGCATAGCCATTCACAGTACCATGACTTTGTTTCCTCTCCCCATTATCACTCAAGTCAGTTATCGTATCAGTCGAACTTTCAACCGATCTCAAAGTCCGTTCAGACAATTTTTTACTCATGATATCAATTGTTCCTCTTTGGGTTGGTTGTCTGTCGTTATTGTGACCTTCAGAGTCAACAGGAAGGTCATTGCAGTTGAGAGTGTCCTCACTGACTTCCTCTTCACTGATATGGCCGTTATGAAGACCATTTTGTAATGTACTTTCACTGCTTTCCTCCTCTGTATTATCTTGACTGATTGGAACACCAGTATCTTCCGCGCAATGCTCTATATCAGAGTCAGAAGTCTCGCTTTCATTATCACACAACCCATCAGATTCAACTCCATCTGAAAGCCCATTCTCCACAACACCATTCTGGACAACATCCATTTCAGCATGGCCGTTCTCCATCACAGTTTCCTCTTCATCCGATTCATCCTTTTCATTTCCTGTCATATGACTAGAATCTACTTCTTTTGCAAGAAGCATAGCTGTATCAGGTGATCCGTGGATGATGTTTGGATCACTCATCCTGCGCCCCGGGAATATTTGGATGCTCGCCCAGTTTGTTGAGGCTCTCACAGGATCGTGTTTTCTGAAGCCCTGGAGTCTCCTGATCTGGTGTGATATCGCTGTCACTTGTCTTCAAACACTCGTCCAGGATGTCGGGACTTGTCTCCAAGGAGTTCTTGGACAGATAGATCGACTTCCACAATTCTAGTTGATGCATTCCATAGTCAGGATACAAAACCTGAAATAAGATATTTGGCATAAATAATTTTAATGTACATAAAATTATTAAAAACTTCTCTTGCATCCAACTGTCAGCATAATCTATCTAATGAAATGAGTGTGAAGTACAAAGCTAGACAGCAACTGCAAACTCCACAGATCATCACGTAGCCCATACCCTAAAGATCTACTGGAGAAGCAGCAGCACGACCCAAGAAGTGATTGCTGGACATAGTGAAGCCCTGCTGTGTTTGCAATGCTTTGTATCCGCTGGAATATTGCTGGCAATGGCCACCAGAGAAATATTAAATATCAGCTCCAGATGTCCATAGACATTGCTAAAAATGTTGTTATAGTTTAACAAATAATAATCAGCATACAGTTATTCCAATGAAGATACGCTATGTTCACTTAGATACAAATTTAGAATTATATTGAAATAACAGTTGCTTTTTTCATTTAAACGTGAAAATATAGCATTTAGATGATATCTTTATCCCTACATTCGAACAAAAGCATTTCAATGCTTTATTTAATAATCTTCTGGAAGTATGAAAATTTAATCACTATAAAAATTTCATATACAGTTAATGGTTATTCACGGCTCTGTATTAGTCTGTACTCTGCAATGTATAACAGGCAAACTGTAATGCAACTGAGTTGCGTAACAGAGCAAAATGACCAGTCTTCTCTGATGCGAAGCGAAGCATTTTGCTATGTTGCTTAACTCAGTTGCATTACAGATTGCCTGTCTGTATATATCGTACAGAATTCTCCAGTCAGTAAATACATCAATCAAACTTTTTTCCATGTAAGTTTACATAACGTCCACATGTAAAACATTATAGGTTCAGTTAGAATATCAGAGGTTGTCTACAAGTTGAATAAATAACTTGTCTTTTTCATTCACACATTTACATCTTTGGTATTGTCGGGTTAATGGAGGTTATTACTAACGACTAATTTATCGCAGTGAGTAGTCAAGTCACAGTAACAACGGAACAACAGTTCTGTGTTTTAATGAGGAATGTACAATATCAGGGTAATAATGTAACGCCAGAGAGCAGCATTGTGTTGGATTCTAGGCGTAAAAATTAGCATTATTATTATTATTATTTATTATTAAGTAATGGTGTTACTCTTTATATTAGTTAACAGGTGTAAATTAAATAGGCTAAGACCAGTTTCAATGTCTTATTGCCACCCTTTCAAGTTTTCTGTAATAATATCTATCAAATTGTAATTGAATATTCAGAAATTTGACAGAAGCGCTGTATTCCTTACATTTCCAGGTACTCGATTCCGATTCGGGTAAGTACATGCGGGTACTCGATTCCATTTTTTGGGCAATACCCAAGCCTAGTAAACGCACTTGTGGCTCAAGACATGTTCTCATTTGAATACAGTATAAAAATGGATGAAATCAATGATAATATGAAAAGCATTCCCAGGAGAAGAGATTGGGATCAGTAATCTGGAATGTCACTTGACAAGTGAACTTTAATGTTAGTTCATTTTGCACATATTTACATGATATTTGTACTGACATTTTTAATGTTCCATGACATAGCAACCATATTCAAATGCTTATGATTGTACATAAGATGTGGCATTTTAAATTACTACAAGACTGATACTGTTTCTTTGTTGTTTAACCAAATAACTGAATCTAGATCTGACAATCCAGTGATTGACATCAAGAGCATCAATCCATGTGATAAAGCTATGAGGGCATGCAAATAACCAAGTGACAAAGCCTGACCACTCAATTCCTTTAGTTGCATTTTAGTCCAAGTATAGGTTGATAGGGACTTACTTGACCTACAAGACCTTGATCAAATACAGTTGACACATTGCCAATAAATTAATTACAGATCCTTTCACTGAATAACTAATCACTTCTTTGGGCCACAAAGCATCAAACAGGATTGAAAAGAGTGAAAATTTCCAGTATGGACAAACAACTGAGAAAAAACCCAACTATAACACTCAGTATAGACTAGTCTTCCTTAAACATTTGACATATCTCTATCAGGAGACAGTGGTATTGACTCACATGTGGGTCCGAATTAGGATTGTAGAGCAAATTGACGAACTTGTCGTTGTTGAGTAAGAGTGTCCAGACAGACTCTGTTTTCTCCGAGATCTTGTTGATTTGCCGCTCACGGGCATTGTTGCACAGGAATGTTCCAAATAAGCGGGAATAAGTATGTTGAACCAGTTTTACCTGGGAATGAAAATCATACACACCTGTAAACCTAATCATTAAAGTACGCATTCTGTATCAAAACCAAAGGTATTTCATCATTATCATTATCTTCTAGGTGTAGTTGTGTCAATGCAAAAATTAAGGAATGTCACAAATTTCTAGCAAGTAGAAAGTTAAAAGTGTACGCTTTCTCAGTAAAGTACAGAATCTAGTACTTTTGTTAGGCCTCCCTCCAACATTGAAAACCACACTAATTGAAAGTAGTCAAATTTATCCATCTAAAACATGAATCTGTACTTAATGTAATATAATGTATATGATAGATGATACTTTGTATAGATGTAGACTTCTGTCAGAAATGTTTTGACAATTTGACAACTAGCGGACTATTTCATATATTCATGTAAACATTCCGTAAAAGTTTCTCGACATGCCAGAAGATATTTGCACAATTTCACTTGTGATCTGAGAAACCAAGATATGTCCTAACAGTAAATCCTTCACCAAACATCCTTGTAAATAGGAAGCATTTGCCTGAAACTGCAAACTGGCTGTTTGTTAACTTCCTTACTACTTACACCAGCTTCTTGGACCAGCTAGCAAACTTGAACAAATCAAATATTTCCGCTAATCAGAAGTTGAAACTGACAGTATCTATTCTCGGATAAACTTAAAAAAAATATTCCACACAAAACATGACTGAACATGTTACTTAATTAGCTACATCCTTATATACTCACATTTACAAAATCACAGAAAACAGTATTCTTGCTGTAAAAAAGACTAAGGACAGTAAACTGTGATCAAAACAAGCCTAACTTCTACATACCAGGAAAGCTTCATTGAACTCGAAAGCACATGGAAATTTTCTGAATACTTGAAAGACACAGTCAAGCCACTGTAAGAAGATCGGTGATCGTTCATTTGGGTCATCACAGTCAGTAGAATGGCCGCAGCGATCGGCAAACTTGTGACCGAAATCCAGCCATTCGCGTTCTATTAAAGCATGGAAGCCCTGGAAAGTATGAACATGGCAAATATTAGGACTGGAGAAATTATGACAATCTGATGTTACTAATTGTACTATTTCCTGTGTAACAGATTTGAGCGATTGTTCTGATTTTTACCATGTTACTGTTGATACAGGATGTCTCTATAATAATGCACAATGACCTATAATTAGTTGTCAGTGTTATGTGTTTACAATTTCTTCAGGATGGACAGAATCAACCACAATTATAACATGAAGTCATCAAAATGGTTAAAAATAGGCAAAGTGTCATTTGTGACATTTGTGAGTTGGAAATGATCCTGATTATACTGAATAGTCTAGCTATCATCGCAGTGTACACCAGAAATTGGTTTTGGAATGGAACCTGGCCATTCAGCATGATAAGCAAACACTTTAACAACTCGGCTACCTTAGTGATCCGAAATATTTTTATGGAAGAAAACTGTAATCTTAATCTAATGGCTAGGCATCATTGTAAAAGTGTGTCTGAATCATATTCGACTATTTTCCTGATGAAATAATGTGCAAGAGAAAAAAATGATCTTGCTTCATTCCAGCTGATGTCTAGAATGTTTGACTCTATTTACAGATGACAGCTTTCATAAAAGAACTGTTATGATTGTACCTTTATTGTCCTGTAGTGAGGGTCCAGGAGAACTTCAGCCAATGACACAATCTGTGGTGTCCTGTCCCAGCCATCTGAGCAGTGGACAAGCACAGGACGAGCCTCCTTGTCAATTGCACTGACCACCAAGGTAGCCGCCCTCAGTAGAGAGGAATTGTACTGAAGCCACTTGGTGTGTTCCAGAGATGACAACCAGCTGAAAAACACAGTATAACCTGCTATTAACACGAGCATCTTGTAGCAATACATTCACAAGAAATAACTTTACCAACTCAGATATCAATCTACATGCAAAGATGTGAAACTTGCTTTAGGATGATCTCTGGTTGAAATACATTAAACCAGATTAGTAATTCAAATGATTTGATCAGTGACAGAGAAACATCTTCATAACTTGATCTAGTGAAAATAGCAAGCAGATGACCTTGACATGGATGTCATGGTGTATGAAATATGCAATATGTGGGGATTATAAATCAAACTAGTCACATATAACTCCAGTTGACAGACTCACCTAGCTGGGTCAGGATGTGTGCTACACAAGGATCGGAGGGCAATGAAGCTCTTCCTGATAGTGTGGATGTTAGCCAGGTTCATGAACTGAATCTCACAAGTAGGGTAGTAGTCTGCAGATACACAACAAAGAACATTCACATACCACAAAACATCAAACATGTAATTTTCTGACTAAAATTGATATTTTATACTTAGCCTGACTCATGCTTTTGCTTGTCTCCTTCTTCTTGCAAATGATAGTGGAACACTTGAATCCCTTTTTTGAAGCTCCCTTCAACAAAGCGGACGTAAACTCACCTAAGGTTGCCTCTCTTTACTGTTTTGGCGCCAAAATCAGTCACTTGATCACCCATGCTTGTCACTCTCTCCATTTATGAGCCCGACACCCGGATTTATAGGAAAATCCAAAGTGCCATGGGGGGAGGTTGGGAGGGCTGACCTCATGAGTCAGGATAAGTATAAAATATCAATTTTAGTCAGAAACTTACATATTTTTCCTTATCCTGACTCATGCTTTTTGCTTGTAGAATCCGACGGAACCGGTGGTGGGTCAGGCCACTCTGGATTCATAGCTTGCTGATTTACGTCCTGCATACCACCCCGTGGGAACTTCTTATGGCACTTGTGCTGATCCTTTTCTTCCAGCTTCCTCTAATGAGTCTGGGGGGACCACAACTTGTCAGACCCTCTGGAACTCTTCTCCTGATATTATGTGTGGATTTATGCAACTCCATGTCTTGATGCTCGCATCAAGTGGAGAAGCGACCCCTCTTCATGTACGAGTAACTCCTTTACAAGTACAGGGTCTATCACTCATGCTGGTCTGCCCTAGACGTGCGCTCTAGCTCTTCAGAGCGTTGGCTGTTACAAGTCACGTGATAAAAGGGTGAGATCCATCTCAGCGCCTTTGTGGAACCGTCAATTGTTGTGCTACAACAAGAGGCCCAAACTGGTGAATGCCGGAGACGTCCTCGGTAGCAATGTATCTGAGGTAGTGGTTGGCAAACACCGTCTCCGACTTCCAAAAGCAGCCCTCCATTATTGTCGAGATGGAGCAGTTTCCATGCAGAGTGAGTGTCGATGCCAGAGCTCTGACTTCATGAGGGTTGGAGGCTCGTGGAAGCTCAAGTCCTGCTGCTTTGTAGGCCCTTAATATGACGGCTGTCATCCAAATGGATATTGTTGTACGTGAGACTTCTATGGTTGTCTCCGTGGAGAGAGGGATGAAAAGGCGCTTGAATTTTCGTCTCCTCGTGACTACATGTAGGGTAAAAATGCTACTTTTAATGCTCTGACTGGGCATAAGGATAGATCCTGGATATCCTGTGGCCCAAGGACTGTCGAGACTGCTGGGATGTGGAACTGTCTGTCTGGTTCTTTGCTATGAAATCCCATCTCAGTCCTAGATGTACGATGTTAAGTCCAGAGCATGTATCTCTGACATTCGTGCTGCTGTTGCCAAACCGATCAGGAACAGAGTTGTCTGCGTTAAAACTCATAGGCTGTCCTTTCTAGTGGTTCGTAAGCGTCACTGGTGAGATTCTGCAAGACTATGTTGAGATCCCAAGCAGGCGCCTTAAACTTCTTTTGTTGGTCTTCCAACTTGAAGGAGCGTAGAAGTGCCAGTATCTCTGGTACTGTGGTCAGCTTAACACCCGTCTTCATGGTGATAACCGTGCTGAGGGCCGCTAGGTATGTAGAGAGTGTTGAACCTTTTAACCGCCTCGTTTATCTTAGATAACATAGGTATTCCGCCCCTTGAGGAAGCGTTGCTTTCATGGCCGTGAAGCCCTTCCTCAAAGCGCATTCCTCAAATCTCTGCCACTTGTTGTTGTACAAGTTGCGGGTTGATCTACGTAGAGCTAGTGTCACTGCTTTCGCTGCTCTAACGGAATATCCTCTTTTGTTCAAGCAAGTCTTGATACGCTCCATGCGTGTAACTGGAACACTGTGGGATTCCCTAGTGCTTGCTTGGTGTGCGGATGAATTAGTAGGTTCGGCCACTCTGGGAGTTGCAGGGTTGGACTTCCGAGTTCTTGCATGAGGATGGGAAACCACACCCTCGCCGGCCAATAGGGCGCGACCAAAATCAGTTGCAGCTTCTTCGTCGGCTTGATTTTCTGCAACACCTGCGGTATTAGAGCTGGAGGTGGCAACGTGTAAGCGTTTAGTCCTTCCCAAGAGATGCTTAGAGCATCTGTTGCCCATGCTTGTGGATCAGGAATCGGAGAGACGAATGTTGGTAGTTGTTTGTTGTACTTTGTGGCAAACAGGTCTATCAGCGGAGATCCTATCATCTGTATGATGCATCGGAAGGCTTCTTGATGTAACATCCATTCCGTCGGGGATGGTTGTGCTGGACGAGATAGGGCGTCTGCTATCACATTCTTGGCTCCCGGAATGTGGCATGTTTTTATGTAGATGTTCAGGTTGTCTATTATGCTGAATAGATGAAATCTTGAAGATTCCTTGATCTTGTTGATCCTTGTTTGTTGATGTCGAACGCTACTGTGGAGTTGTCCGTATGGATCATCTGCTGTGCGTTCCTTAGTATGCTGGACCAGTGTAGTAAGGCGTTTATTTCTGCTTTCATCTCGAGCATGTTGATGTGCAGACTCTGCTCCTGACTCGACCATTTCCCTGCTTCCACTTCGTTGTTGAAGTGAGCTCCCCATCCTTGAAGCGATACATTTACGTAGAGATGAGTGCTGCACTCCGGCTCTGATAAATAGGTTCATCCACAGACATTCGACTTCCGAGTCCACCATAGAAGATACGGTTTCAGACTGTCCGGTAACAAGAAGGGGTCCAGACTGTCCAGATGGGCGTTCACGAACACTTGTTGTGGGCGCAGATCACAACTTTTGCGTTTTCAATGATGATAGTTTCTTAAACAACTTTTTTGGTGGAGTCCGGAAAATTTTCAAGTATAAGAAAGCTGTTGGGTATTAGTAAATGATAAACATGGGTACTATGGCAATTTTGTACAATGATAAAATTTACAATTCATCAGTCCGTTTCTGACTCAAACGGACTGTAGATGGAATGTTTCTTTGGTACTAGCAAGATTGGGGAATAAAAAACGGGCTTATCTCTTTGACAGCCTTTTTCTCGAGTAGAGTTGCGATTGCATTGTGTAGTTTCTCCATCTGGTCGGCAGCGTAGATATGGGCCAGAGGGATGCTTGTAAGCGGTGGTACTGCTTGCAGTTGTATCTTGTATCCTCTGCGTAGGATCTGGGATACGTAGTCGTCCTGAAGAAGTCCCCAATTCTTCCAGTAGCGTTGCAGACGTCCACCCACTGTCGAAGGATGTATGGGAACGGCTGGGGGTGGAAGACTCCAGTCGTTCCGAACCCGTCATCAGCATCTAAATCCTCTAGCACCTCTGGGTGCTCGGCCTCTTATGGGGTTACCTCTGGGAGCTCCGGTTGGGCGACGAAAAGAGTCTCTGCCTCCTTTGGAGTTGGCAAACTTCTTTTCCCTGGCTCTCTGTATCCCCGTAAATTTGGACTTGCCGGAGTAGCGTTGTGACGTCTGACGAATAACACTGGCTAGTGTGGCGATGGACTTGATCATCAGCATCTCCCTTGACTCCTTCGTAACTTCTTTGGCTACGTCATCAATTTCCCCTGCGAAGATGGACGATGCTGACCACGGAGCTCTGTACAACGTCTTGGTGAACTGCTCACTCCAGTTTCAGGAAGACAGCAAAACCTCGTCTTCTCAAGAGCGTCAGACCTGCTGATGTGGATGCCAGATGTTCGGACATAAACTGATGATCCTTCTTTTGGGTCAGCAATACAGAGTAAATCATCCGATCCTCTTCAGAGGTCGAGTTCCTGAACTTAGCGATGAGGGTTTCATTAATGGCTCTTGATCTGGCGAGACCAAAGAAGGTACGTCTGGTAGTTGTATCTAGTTGTGCCAGCTTCTTATCCTCTATCTTATAAGTTCTAGATCGGGAGTCGTTGATGATTTTGTAGTTCTCATCTATCTCTGGGGTTCCATGTGATGAAGTGAGAACTTCTTGGCGTTGAACGGCGGGACGCTTTGGCTCTGGAACTTAGTTGCCTTCCCGAAGGCTGTGCTGAGGTTCTCCGGTACATCCGAGACAGGATCGATGGGTGGAAGGGTGAGCATATCAAAGTCGTCGTTCGACATCTTATACGTGGGTGCTTCATTATCCTCTTTAGAAGGTGATGCAAGTTCCAATCCATTAGCCATCCAAGATTCGATCTCTGTATTGGAGAATATGATTCTGCCATCATCTTCAGATCTAGTGGCCTCTCGGTCTGAAGATCGTCGCTTCTGTGAATCCCTTCCTGAAGACCTGCGTGGAGATCTGCATGGAGACCTGTCTGAAGACCTGCGCGCAGGTGATCTGTTGGGATAAGGTTCCTCCCTGGAGTCTTGAGGCGTATCTCTGCGCCTTCGTGAAGGTGTAGATTTCTTCTACGGGATGAGGAGTGCCTGCGTGCAGGCTCCTGATGGTTGTCTGCATCTGGGGTTGAAGATGATCCTTGTGATCTGCTTCTGCACTGCTCCGGAGAACGTCTAGTTCTGCTCCTGCGCAAAGGCTCCTCAATAGGCTCTTCTGGAACATTTACAGCAGTCTCATCGTTATCAGGGCTGCCAGGTTCTCGGGAAGTTGCCGTAGACGATCGTCGAGTGTGTGACCCTTCCTGCAGGCTTCCTCCTTCATGCAGGCTTCCTCCTTCATGCAGGCTTCTATCTTCAACCGGATGCGAAGTGCAGACTGCTTGTCCTTCTTGCAGGCTTGTTGTAGATGGGGTCTTTGCCGCAGCCTTCTCCTGTGCGAAGCGTCGTTCCATCAGGTCCAACATCTGCTCAGTGAACTGCTGCATGAAGATACCCGGGTTGAATTTCTGCAACGACGGCTGCTGCTGCTACAGAGATGACGACGCATCTGAGAGGGAAGAGGCTTCTTCCAAGGACCGCTGTGCTCATGAAGAACTGCCGTCTCTGGTACCTGATGTCTGCGTTGATAGATCATCTGTCTGTGCTGTGATGGCTGCTGACGTCGCTGTAGAAGAGGATCTCGTCTTAACTGCTACTTCAGGAATGAGGATAGGTGGATCGTCATACACGTCTACTTCGTCTGGAGGGATGATCTCAGCAGAGAAGGACCTCGTCTTCTGTGCTGCACCGTGGGAAGACTTCGCCGAAGTCTTATCTGCAGTCGACTTCTTTTTCTGTGAAGACGATGCCCTGGTCTTCTTAGACTGCGACAAGGCTACTTCAGACGTTGACGATCTCTTCCTGGAGCCGGAGCTCCCCTCTGCCACAGCAACATGCTCCGTAGTAGAGACCGGTAAATCACTGGAATGGTGAATCCGTTATCAGCGCATTCACTCGGTTCAGACATGACTTGTAAAAGCCGTCTAGACCAGTCCTTAGCACGTCTTAGAATGGAAAATAAATAATTATTGAATTCAACTTCAGATAAATGCTGACAAAGTTGACAGTGAAAGCTGGAAGAACATGTAGAAGTGCAATTAGGACATAATAGATGAGGATCAGCAGCAGACAACCGGTACCTGCAACGAATGCAAGTTTTCATCAATTGTAAACCATATTGCTAGTATATCTTCCTAAATACTGTATACAGCTAAATTTTGCGGTAAAGGCCTAAAATTAAAAGGATATAGTGCCGTATAGGGACCCAGGCGCTTCTCACAACCGTCCTCTAGGGCGAAGAAGGAGAGAGTGACAAGCATGGGTGTTCATGTGACTGATTTTGGCGCCAAAGCAGTAAAGGGAGGCAACCTTGGGTGAGTGATTTTACGTCCGCTTTTTTTAAGGGAGCTTCAAAAAGGGATTCAAGTGTTCCACTATCATTCGCAAGAAGAAGGAGACAAGCAAAAAGCATGAGTCAGGATAAGGAAAAACAATAGTTATCATTGAGCATGTTTCTAAGAATGTTATCTATTCCATCACAGGTTCTTGAGAGGCATATAGAAGTTGGTATTCAAGTGAAAGACAATAAAAGTTTTTAAAGGATGTACAGAGGAAGAAAGTTTTTCTCCATTAAGACAAACACTCATTCACCTTCTTACACACCTACATTCACACACTCGATAGGAATCTGCTGGCCTCGTATCACATGTTAAATAAATATTCAATGGTCTTGCTTATTTCTGCTCCAATGATGCAAAAAAGTACAAGATATATCATCCAAACCTGATAGAACTTATGTTTAACAGACACTACAAGCATATCTAACTATTGAGAGGAAATAGCAGCAAACATTGAAAACTTGTTCTCTATAACATATGAGTGATTGAATTTGGTTTTATGCCGCTTTTAGCAATATTCCAGCAATATCATGGCAGGGGGGACACCAGAAATGGGCTTCAACATTGTACCCATGTGGGGAGTCGAACCCGGGTCTTTGGCGAACGAACGCTTTAACCACTAGGCTACCCCACCGCCCCTCTATAACATATGACTAACCAGATGTGACAGTATTCGACATCTACTCAATATACCCGTACCATATAGTAGCATACCATACCTGCACTCTCGCACCCTCCACCTTTGGCTCTGTTAGCAAACGCAGCCCCGTAAGAGCGACAATCAATCAGCAACATTTTCTTGGGAGTCACAGTTGTCTGGACTGGAAGAACATACAAAAGTTGGAATTTAATACATATGGATACAGTGTGTCCGTAGTTTCAATATTATTTCAGTTATTTCACGCCATAACAGCTTCATGTGCTGATCATGGATGTCCACTTTGGTGTGACCAACAAGCACGGGTCCTATACATAATCAGGGTAAATCAGATACTTGAACCTATGACCATAGGATTCTGGCACACGAAAGGGAAGCAACTCTGTATGGGAACACTTTCATGACGTAACCAGCCATAGACATACAGATATAAGGTTAACACTTGACTTTGATTAAAGAGATATTCAAATCCCACTTGAATAGTTTAACATTTGTTTGTTGTTAAGCCACAACCAGTGAGACAATTCTCAGGTATATATGGTATTGGACTGTAAACCATTCGGTCTAAATTAGTGATTAATTCAACATGCAGTTATCCACTCCACGAGGTTACAATGACACAAATGAAGTCACTGAGTTTGACCACCTGACTGGTTTAGACAATTCCCTTGAAAGGTATCATTTGCTGGAGACATATTCTCACCCTGAACTGTGACGTGGACTTAAACTGCAATGCTGTTGACACTGTATGATAAAGATATATGTCCATTTCAAAATAATAGTGAGTGAGTGAGATTAGTTTTAGGCCGCACTCGGCAATATCCCAGCTATATGGCGGCGGTCTGTAAATAATCGAGTCTGGACCAGACAATCCAATGATAAACAGCATGAGCAGCGATCTGCACAATTGTTCAAACTAATACATATCCAGGTAGGAGATAGGTGTGAATGTGAAACTTCTTTGTTCTGTTCCATCTCTAAACAGGATGAGATTAAAGTATATACTCTAAGATAATTTAAATCATTTTCACAATTTATACATGAGCTTCATGGACAGTGATGACTGGATGACACGATAAACTGCATGGACCTTGTCTACAATTCCTTTCGGAAGTGTTGTGTATGTAACACTACTCCATCTCGGGAGAAAGGTCTGTGTCCTTGTTGAACCTTGTACAATATCATGATGCAGTACGTTAATGCATATTTACCTTCTGCGTCTGCTGCCCCGTCACAGGTCGTCTTCTTCAGATCTGTCCCAGGATTCAGAGCACAGGCTTTGGGTATGGCACCCAGCAGGACCTCATCCTCTGTGTTCCGCCACCCTAGCCACCCCAGCTCGGGCTGGCTACAACGTACCAACACTGCACCATTCCTCTGGTCCCTGTGGAATAACAAACAAATCTCATTAAAATCACATCTTATATCTGGCTACTGTTGAAGACCTAAGGACATCCAATTAATAGTCATGTCAGAACGACCTTTCAAAAACTTTGTCTGACCTATGAAATCACATGAGGTCCTCATTAGCCAATCAGAAAGCAGCCTTCTTGCACCTTTACCTTTACTGCCTTCAAACTGGCAACTTCAGTTTCAGACTAAACTTTGATTAATCCTTTGACAGTTCATATTTCAAACTTGAAACCTGAACAAGAGAATATTCTGTAATGTTTAATAAATGGCCGAGTTTGGACAGCAGTTGTTCTTCAGGCTAAGTATAGCCTCTTCAGTTTCAAATGTGTATCCCACTTACGTGCAAAAGAGATGAATTCATGATTCAATCAAAACGCCTATAGCTGTCGTTCAGAATACCCCATGATAAACTTTTCATGGTTGATGATTTGGAAACACATTCTCACTGTCACCTTCCCAACTTGGCAAGTGACACCCTGGTTGAATGAAAGGTCATTCTAACATGACCCATTAATGGGATGTCCTCTCCTATCTTTGTTTTGCAACACTATGAGTGAGTGAGTGAGTGAGTGAGTGAGTGAGTGAGTGAGTGAGTGAGTGAGTGAGTGAGTGAGTGAGTGAGTGAGTGAGTGAGTGAGTGAGTGAGTGAGTGAGTGAGTGAGTGAGTGAGTGAGTGAGTGAGTGAGTGAGTGAGTGAGTGAGTGAGTGAGTGAGTGAGTGAGTGAGTGAGTGAGTGAGTGAGTGAGTGAGTGAGTAGGTGAGTGAAGTTTTATGCCGTTTTTAGCAATATTCCAGCAATATCATGGGCTTCACACATTGTGCCAAAGTGGGGAATCAACCACTGGGCTACCCCACTGCCCTGCAACACTATGAGATTGAAGAGCAAACTGTCACACTGAATATATCTGTTCATCCTTATCAGACATCAGTTCACAATAGCAATACATACACTCATCCATGGAACACATCAATACACCTTCTTAATATATCTATCTGATCACCCTAGCATTAGTTTTTAAATCCAGTCTGCGCCCAAGACTGATAAGGATACTAGTCTTACCTTGGTTCTTGCATAATTTTCGGTTGGTTATGTTTATACATGGACTAATATTTCTGAGCTTAGTATGCAAAACAAAAATGTTGATTGTTCTGTCACTAGACTAGGGCTGAATTCTTGACTACAAATCTGTGTAACCTTGCAGTATATATGTCCACCCTTGGTACATATCTGTTTGAACCTTCAATATATATCTGTTCATCTTTGTAACATGTTTTCCTTGCAATATATTTATTCAACTCTGTAACATATCTGTCCATCCTTGCAATAAACTGAGAATTAACGCTGAAAGCTCTATACCATAAGTTACCAAAGGTATATATTGTCATTTTACATTTTTTTAGAGATATTCTAAGACGTATCATAAGATAAGCTATTTGTGGCTTGTAATATTTTGAGGCATATCATCTCGTACCTCCAAACAACTGATGGAAACCTCTTCAGAGCCCTGAAACTGGCCACACTTTTCAGTTCTTCATCTCCGATCTCCGCTGGTACAATGTGATACTTGGAGTAGGAGGAAGACAGGCTGGAAATAGAGACATCATGTTACCATGGACACATTATCAACATGATCCAAATATGTAACTAACCACATAGGCTTTCATCACAATAACAAGGAGACAGGAACATCAACCATGCAGAATGAACCATGAACTAATGCAGCAATAAATGAAAGCGAATGACCAATCTACCTGAAATTCATATTCACAGATATCAGCTGACTCAGAGAATCTCACTGAGCCACACAGCTCATCTTGCCCTTGCTCTCTGGTACTCAGTACCAGGTAACTTAACAGCTGTCGCATGTACGGAAATCTTCTTAGGGCTGCTGAAACTTACATATCGCAAGAGTGGGTGATTATGGTTTTAGCAATATTCCAGCAATATCACAGCGGGGACACCAGAAAGGGGCTTCACACATTGTACTAATGCGGGGAATCGAACCCGGGTCTTCAGCGTGATGAGTGAACACTTTAACCACTAGGCTACCCCACTGCCCCACATAACGCAAGAAACCTGCTTATTGTGGACAACTGGGTGCATTCATGGGACAGTGGCACCCTGAATTATCAGTACTGTTTAACAATACCTGCGGACTTGGATCCCTATTACGTAATCCAAGTTGTAAGTCAGGTGCTTTATATACACATTATTATTATTATCATTATTACTGATTCAAGATTATCAACATATCCATTTATCTTGCCTCACAGATAAGTGTCATTTCTGATTGGCTGAGCGCGCTCTTCTATTATATTCAATGTACCCTGCTTACAAGAGGGTAACATTTTCTATGTAGCCCACTAGGAATGCCGAACTCATTTGGTACTTCGTAGTAGTAATTCTTTACTCAAATAACATTGAATCACATTGCAGCTGTATCAAAACGTAACTGTATCGCTTTCGATTAATGTTGTTTCTTAGTGGTGTCAAGTATAGAAACCTAAAATACTGTGATACACTTACAAATTAGACCACAACTTTCTGTCTCACACACTTGTCAAGGGTTAGATCAAAAGAATCCATTAACAAACTATCATCTGATTGATCTCCCCATTTTTACTGATAAATTCCCATCCAGTTAGTTTAGTTACAAGCGAGCATCAATGATAATAGGCTGTATTATGTGATGGGTCTCACAGCCACTGTCAACATCCAACCTCAGACAGGAATATGTTTGATCCCCTTCATAAAAACTGGTAATTTCTGTAATCTGCAATTTGGGCCTGAATTGTAATAATTCCAGCATGTGAATGTGTCAAGGCATGTCCTGTCTTCAAGAAATTATGAAATATTCACTCTTTGAAGACGGTTCAGTAAAATTGATTTTCAGACATGGAATGGCTCAATTAATCTTAAGTTTAGGGATTTATGAGAGAGAATTTGACTTTTACCCAAAGTGCTCATTAATCAGCGATATCCTCCATGCTTTCTTCTGGCTGGTGTCAAACTGCATTCTGTTCACATCCTTCCCAAATGTGTAATGGTCCAATGTGTTGTCTGAAACAGATAAAGAATGACTATCACTTCCTGAACACAACATGCAAGGGTTAAATCATGTGGGTCTGAAGTCACTCACTCAGGAAAACAGCTCTGTTAAGGGAACAGGTCATATAATATGTTAAAGCAGAGGCCCAGATAAGCTGCGTATCCGGGTAAAATACGCATAGAAAATTTCCAATTACGCGTTGAAAAAATAATTGTTGCGTACCAATTACGCATTGAAAATGTTAGATACGCAAAAAGTTTAAAACAAAGGCGTACGGAATATATTTATAAAAATAGCTTGTGTAATGAAAAAGACATCGATTGCTATCAAGTTGTACTGTTAGTATAGGACAAGTGTTGTACTGTCAGTATAGGATGAGTGATTTTTTATGAAATCATTTCCATTATATTTAAGTTGGTTTTGATTAGGTATGACATAGTCATGAGGCAGAACATACCTGCTTAGTAAACTTACTGAATGACATATACTTAGGTGAGTAAAATGACTGAAATACGCATATATTTGAAAGCAGTGGGTAACGGAAAATGAAATACCCACTCAACATTCATAATACCCACTCAAAATAAAAATACGGTGGAGCTCTGTTAAAGGACTTGACACTTTGGACACCAAGCATATTGTGGCATGATGAGATGATCTTACAGAGTCCCACCCCATACTCCCTACTTGGTTACTGAACAGGACAGCAGCAATTGCTTTAATGAGTTGATTAAATAATTCAGTTCAGTTCACTACAGACAAATGGCACATGGCACAGTTTAAAAAACTGATAAAAAGTGCAATAAATACAAAAAATATATTACCATGTTATTGGACATTTTATTGGTCACTCTTTTACATGAGATGAAATATGCTGATACTTTTCTTCTTTTAAAGCTAAGAAAATGTTTATCAACGTTCGACTGTCACAGTTACCATAGTTACTTACTCTCCAACTCTGTCCTTGATGGTGCGGTGTCACTGGTAGGCGTGTCATTCTCCCTCCATGCATGGAATGCCAGAGCAAATAGGTCATTGACCTCCTTAGGCGGGGCAATTGCATCTAACAGCCTTTTATACCATTGCTGGCACTGTTCGTTGGTGGAGAATGCACATCTGTCACAGAAGGAACATGCATAGTGATAAACCAATGCATATAAATCTCATGCAAAATGTTCTTTTGCATGAAATTAGTAGCACACAAAATTTTATCATTTGTCTCATTCAGTACAAAAATATTTATTACTTCTTAAAAGAGGATTAAACATTTTTACACTACTCTGTAGGAGGAGATTCAGAGTAGTCTTAAAAGATAGAGAACATCTTCCACAATTTTCTACAGGCAATAATAAATAAGTAGAAACAAAGAACATTTTGAGTAACAAAACTGTCCATAGTAAGTATATGACATGAGTTTTTCCCCCATTCCATCTGTGAGTTGTTTATCCCCCAGCTACGTACCTGACTGTGGTAGCGTCTTTACAGCAAACAGTAAGGTAGAAGATCTCCCTTGTGTCCACTGTATCAATTAATCCCAGTGGCACATTCACAAATACATTCTTCTGACGCACAAACAGTCGGAAATTAGATAATGCTATGAGACCGTCTGAAGTCCTGCCCAGATATGTCACATATTCTCCATTCATGGTTGGAAAGGGCACCTGCAGCGTGTCATCTTCTAACACGATGGATTTCTTAGGAAACAGCTCCGACTTGTGGATGCACTCCAGGCTGTGAGGCTCCTCGGTGCCCTGTCACAACAACATGTATCAGTAAATTACTGTACTCAAGAAATACACGCAAACATTCTACCATCACAACACAGGGTTTTACACAATGCAGAGTGACCCGTGAAGATCTGGGTTAGAACTGATCTTCATTAACCCATGCTTGTTGTAAGAGGCGACTAACAGGATTGGGTGGTCAGTTTTTTACACATTAATGTGTAAACAAAGGCAACACGGATGGTCATGGGCTCTCACCTACAGCAAAATACATGTTTGACTGTGCATTATACCCAAGATGCTACTTCCCACCCAAACAAAGTTATCAACATAATAAAACAGAAATTGTCCGATTATTAAATTTACTGGAAGCAGAATAAGATTCAACAATGATTATGCATGAGCATGGCCTAATGCTGTTTCCATGTGACCTAGACGGAATATGTGACATAAATTAACCACTGATTACCAAAACAGTATTTTCATTCATGTAGAGTAGTACATGAGTACAGACTGCTTTCGTTACTTCGTTCATGTATCTAAATAGTTTGATTCAATCAGTGATTTGCTGGACTGCTCACTGGTCGAAAGACATCACTAGCATTGAATGAATCTGCCATCTGGATTACATATATGATGTCATGCTTTCTTTTGCTTATGATATTCTAGTCCTGTTCTGATGGTGTCTTTTGGAAGACAAACCAGAGTATGATAATATTATGGGCAACATCCCAATTTTGTGAGTAATGGATATGTAAATGCCCTGTTTAAGCCCTAATGGTGAGCGCCACGCAGGTTACAAAAGTACTATCATTAAATTACATTTGTGACTGCATTCCATTGTCTGCTCGCTCCATTACCTTTCAGGAATGGAGTGATGTGTACCAGTTTCAAATTTAAGACTTCATTTTGTCATTTTGACATTTAATTTGGATAACAGAAATATTACCAATACTTTGAATGTAATTTAAGTAGGGTAATGTCCGGGTAACTCTCCACTCCTTAAAAATAATGGGCCTCGGCTCCATTATTTTTAAGGAATGGAGAGTTACCCGGACATTACCGTCTACTTAAAAAATCAGTATGATGCAGCTGAGGACTGGACAACTAGTGTTCCGTTCACCAGGCACACACTCACTAAACCACAGAGAAGATCCACCAACACTGGAAGTGCGTATTGAAAATGCGTCAAATTCTCATCATGTTCTTCAGCTTGATAGCTCCCTTATCAAGATTTGTGAGCTAAATGTAATACTGTGTGGGAATTGAATCAACTTTCAATCTAACAAAACATATCCAGTTTCAATTCACAGGTTTTTTCCTTGAAGTATTTCTAAAATGGTTTTCTTGGAAGAGAAATAATTGAATTTTTTGTCAGAAATCAGAAAGCAATCCTCAGTCACGACTGACCACTGAGAATGGAATATTCTGGAAGCACATGGAAGCAGTGTAGGCAGGCGATTGACAGGGGAAAATCAATAAATGCTCTTAACACTGACAATGTGGACAAGCCATAAGGAGAACCTCATTTATACAGTTCTTCATACAGCTTCCTTGCTCTCGCCACTTTCACTGTCTTATTTTTACCTATGAAACAGTGGGAGCCTTTTAAAACCTACAATTCACTCTGTTATCCTTCATTAAGCATGAATGTCAAGATGACCTTGACATTATTGGAACACTCTAATGTTAAAAGTTCTCCAGATAAAATTCCACAGCAGACATATCCCTGGGGGAAGACTTAATTTCTGACACTGCTTCAAGCAATAACAACTGTATCCATCATTGACATGTTGAATGGATACAAATAATATTTATACAATTTGCTACATTACACAATAAATTGTGTGTTTAATTTCATACAATGAAAGATACTTTCAATTCAAAGGTTTATATATTAATGAAACATACTGCCCTCCAACTGCTGACCAACACGACAACTGTAGGTTGCTGATACAGGGCTATATGACAGCAGGGAGCAATTTCGCTATTTACAACCTGCACCGATGCATGTTCAAAAAGGCTGGTGCAGGTTGCCTTTAGTAACAGGTAACAAAAATTCCTCCAACATCTTATAGCTGTCACTGTGTGTTTTAATTGGGAAGTAAGTGGCTGGAAGTAACAAGACTTGTTACAAGCATAAACATTAGTGTACTCATTAATGAGTTATGTACAAGTAATCATATAACAGAGATTTATAAATAAAGGTTATGCAATATTGAAACAGAATCATCCATCATTACCATTCTGTTGAATGTATCTGATACTGAGTATTTGTTATGAAAATTGCTCAACAAGTATTTATGTTACGTTCTAGAACCAGTGACATTATTTTGTGATGCAACCAAAATTTTGATGGTGCAGCTAAACCTATAAGCTAGGTTGTACTCGGTGCAAGCACTGAACAAAAACCGAAATCGCACCCTTGACAGGCACATGTGCTCACCAATCAGCTGTCCCAAATCACATTTCCAAGACACGTAGATATATCCAAACATACATGATATATTAACACAGATGACAGCATGTTTATCTAAGCGAAAACCAAACCCTAGCTATAACAAATGAACATAATACCAGCAGGTGACAGTTTCCAACATGTCGTAGCAGTTCCACAGCTCAAATTCACTGGAAATTCACAGGAAAAGCCATTTACTGAGAGGTTTCCCTTGATGTGCTGCTATGCTTACAATGGTTACCGGGATGAGAGAAGCCATGAACATTGCTACACGCAGTTAGACAACACTAGTGTTGGGAATTGGTTGAAATCTCACAATTGATGATTGCTTCATTACCAACGAGAAATCATCGAAAAAAATTGGTTATCGTCATTTCTCAGATTTTTCTATTCAGTTTGTTATTGCAGATAAGTATAACATGATGCAACTTGCTACTTTAAAGTGATGACTAATATATCATGAACATAAACTACTCAGAGTCTTCAACTATTATTAAGTCATGACTTTTCAGTTATTGAAGTGAATTTTCCAAGAATTAAACACATTTTCAGGCCCAGACAACTTCGAATATATGTTCCATCGACAAGAGTTTTAAAGACTAAAACAGTACTTCCAAAATCGTTTGTGTTTGATTATGATAAAATGTGATCGATTGCTTGGTCGTTTGGTCACTGCGACCAATCTTCGATTATTTCAGTTAATCGGAACACCACTAGACAACACCATACAAGATAGTGTAAGTAACAACTGGTTCTGACTGGAAAATGGAAAGGATTTTTTGGCAGATAATTTTGTGATAAGGGTAATCTTGAAGTTAAGTCTTGTTCATGTTGATTGTACCTACATAAGGCTAGAAAGAAGGTCTATTTTGTCTTTAGTAATAATTAGTTTTTTTCAATATGGCTACCGTGGTGACCATCTTGTGAATCAGATTTGAACCTGTTTTCACAGTGTCAGCTTTCATTATGCTTGTCATTTTCCTTCAGTGCTGTGCTGCCTAGTGGCATTGAGAATTGTTAGCATTCATAATATACAAATATTTGTATGTGATGATGACTTGTTTTAATAAATTGATATACTGCCTGAATAACGGCAAAAGTAATACCCTTTAACAACTGCGGATGATGAAAGTGTAAAACAACTTACCATGGTGCTGGAGAAGCTCTCCGACAGACCCCCACTTAGTCTCTCTGTGAATGACCTGGAAACAGAACATACATTGTAAATATTACATAGCATGAGTGAGTGAGTAAGTGAGTGAGAAATAGAGAAATAATAAGGATGAACTTGGAGTGGAACCAACGATAACAGGCTTCTGGTATGCCCAAGGCATGCAACTCTACACATCAAATATTTGCCCATTACATGTCTGGGCCACCTGTGCCCAAATAAGTGAGGAGGTGAATAATATGCTTCAGTTTTCTGATATAAGTAGCAAAATTGTGACAAACTCTTTAAGAAGTTCTTCAAATTGTCCAGTCTGATAATTTACACTGACCACTGTGAAACTGTTTGAAGCAATCTTAAACTATTGTTTCTGTTAGGTTACAGTCTGCAGTAAAATAATTGTCTGGACCAGACAATCCAGTGATCAACAGCATGAGCATCAACCTACGCAATCGGGACATGTGTCAACAAAGTCAATGAGTCTGACCACCCGATCCCATTTGTCGCCTCTTACAACAAGCCTGGGTTCTAACTCGGATCTTCCCATATATAACGTATGTTATATGAAAAAGCACCCATACGAGATGGCAAACTGTGTTAAGTTTGAAGTTATGAGCCAAAACATGCCATGTCCTGGACAAAATCCCTGATTTTGTTTCAAGTTTACAATAATTTTTAAAAAAATGTCTTGTTTTTTCTGATTTCCTTTTCAGTACTCAAGTAGCAACTGTCAAAATGAGGTAAAGTAAAAGCTCTTGTAAAGTTAAGTAAGAGATGTTGCTCTTACCGAGCTTATATTCAAAGTTAACAATTTAGGGATCCCTAGGTGTAACTGCTAAGAATCAAATCTCAGAGACCACACAACCCCATAAAACATTTACTGTTGAATTTGGAGTGAGTGAGTTAAAATTTAGAGTCACATCAGCAATATTTCAGCCATACCATGACTATGTTAAATTTGGAACACTGTTTAAAAAAAATTGATAATATAAACAACAACAATAATAATAATAATAAAAAGTTATCACCTCAGCCATGTTGACAACATGATGCATGCTACTGTTTGTGAGGTTATGGATTACACTATATCTCAACACTATCACCTGGGCAAACTCTATAATGCATGACTCACAATCATGTGACCTGACAATACATCACACTTCAGCCTGTACTGGTAATATTATAACATACATACCTCTCCCTATGCTATGGCCCTGAACTAGATGTTACTATCTACATAAGTAACCAGGATGTTGCTTATCAGCCAGCCCACAACATGCATCAAATGACTATCGACATATTTATAGAGACGGGACAACAAAGCAATTGCATGGATGATAGCCTTAGGACAACTCCATGATTCTATAAACTCCTAACCAAATATACCATGTGAACAGGAGTCATTTGGCACAAGTTCAATACACTGTAATTGTATATATTTTCACGGGGTGCAATTTTCGCGGAAAGTTCACAAAAGGCCTGTTAGCGCAGTTGTTTTTTTCGTGCATTTCAAACACCTGAGTGATGGTATCCATCACAAGTTCTCACAACCGATAGACATGCAGTGATCAAAGCTAGCTGCCATAATTGAATCGTGTTTACTAAAACAATCAGAGAGAGGTGGGATTATACTGTACTTGTGTCAACATTGTGATTTGTGACTGAAGTCGTATCACTTTGCGTGAACGAACATACAAGAGAAGACCAAAGACGTCAAATTTGCAATTGAACATCGCTATTTATAAAAGATTATTTACCTTTTCAGTTCTAATTTGTTTCTGCTAGGCATTGTCTTATATGCAGGGATTAAAATGACCGTGTGTAATTGTCTCGTATACAGCGCCAGAAATAGCAATCAGGTGTGAAGTGCACACGTTCCCCAACCCGTGATTTAGTTAAAATGTACCCGATAATATTCCGAGATGAATTCTGATGCAGTGATCTTAAATAGATAGTATCTGAAAGTATTGTTTTATAATGAGCAATATATTCTAGTTTTGTGTCATTGTCATTGCAGGTTGTGCTCCATAAATGTCAAATATATATAATCATAACTAAGGTTACGCGACAGTTTTTTGGTGTATTGCCGGATAGTTTTTATGCATGGAACAATTTAACCTGTCACCGATGAGGTTTTTGCGCGATCTCACTATTTCCACTGCAAAATCAGTTTGTTGACATGTGATCCTCCAGCTACACTAATTATGACTTTTGGCGAAGCAAAATATGTATGACACATATCCATTTACTGTCAACTACACTTCATTCTGAGACGTGAGTAGACGCAATATGTTAGTGATAGCTGTGAAGTAAGTACATTGTGTTGAGGAATTACCGGTAGGCGAACATCTTGACTTCTTGACATTGTTTGATCACGTAATTTACATGGACCGGGAATAATTGCTTTGATGTTGTTATTTGAGAGAATAAACAAATTGCAGGTTGTTCCTACTTGAGTATTTGTCATGACTTCACCATGAATATTTCGCTTGGTATGATTATTGGCGCACAATCTTTTTGCGCTAAAAGCGCGAAAATAAATCCCACGCGAAAATAACTACGATTACAGTAGATATTGTTAAAAAAGTAAAACATAAAAATGTTTCTTTAAGGAGTGTAAATGTGCTTGACATTATCAAGGTTTTATGTGACCTGCAACAGTCAATTATGCACAAACGTAGAGAACAATTCACTGCGTCTAGAGGGATGCAAATTAGTATTCACTGTACCCACAACACATCTATGACTTTGCTAAGTGTTTTGTTGTTTCTTTCAAAGCAGTTACGTGCATCACTTCATCTATCATGATCAATGATTCATTCCAGGCTTTAAGACCGCCTCCGTGGTGTAGTGGTTAGAGCGTCCGCCCGGAGAGTGGAAGGTCGCGGGTTCGATCCCCGACCGCGTCATACCAAAAGACGTTAAAATATGGTACTTGTTGGTCCCTGCCTGGCGCTCGGCATTAATGGGTGCAACAAGGACTGGTCGGCTCGGAGTCAGTATAATGTGTCTGAGTGGGGTATTCATGCTTCACTGCAGCATGGTATCTCAGTGGGCTAGCACTATAAAACCAGCATAAGTCTGGGCTAGTACAAGCAGCCGCACATACACATAGACACGCATGCACGTCGTCATATGAGCGAAATATTCTCAAGTACGACGTTAAACCCAATTTCACCTCACCTCACCTCCAGGCTTTAAAGAAATTATCAACAGGTACAGTTCTCTACCCTGTTACTTCACAGGACCTTCATATTGTCAATAAGACCCCTAAACTCATAACTGAGGGTCCCCGGGACCCCAATGTCAGCCAGAGCTTATTGATTATTCCACCTGTTGCACATATATGCTTATGGAGAGATTGAGTCCTTACTTAACATGCTTAATTTAGCAGAGGTGAAATTTAGTCAGTAGCTCAAAAAGCTGTCTTATGCTACAGATATCCTTAGGTACGCACAGAGTAGAGGTTTGGGGATGTGTTTTAATATGTTATAATTATTTGGATGAGTAAGCAGTTATGCCTCAGGTATACAGTCCTTCAGATTTGCCGTGACCTACATTCAGACTGACATTGATGTGGGTCCCCTGTCACTCTATAATAAAGGAGTTCAGTGGAAACTGGAAAGTGTTTTTTCTGCCTATAGTATATGCAAATGAAATGCAAAAGGAGCATTCCCCTAAACCTGAGCCGACACTTGCTGCTTGTACACGTCCAGACTGGTCCTTTTATGCTCAAGGCTACTGAGACACCATGTTGTAGTTCAACATGGATACTGGAGGAATCAGACCCGTCGTATTCCTTTGATCATGTTGAGTGCCAGGCAGGGTAACAACAAGAATGACCTATTCGTTTCTTTTGGTATATAAGTGTAGAACATAAATAGTGATTATTACACGAACAAGTGTGTCATACGACATATGAAACGAGTGTGAAATTTTGTATTGCACGAGCTAGGGCAATATACAATTTTGCATGAGTTTCGTATAAGTCGTGTGGCACACTTGCGAGTGTAACATATTCTTTATTATCCATTTTATTCATGTACATTCGTGCAGTAAAACATGGTAGGCAAGTGTGACTGCCCTGTTCATTGACGTCACGTTTAGATGACGTCACAGACAACAATCTACAGAAACTATAGTTGCTAGGCAACAGTGATACGTGGACATGTGCACATATGATATATATGACACTGGTTATGTTTAACCATATGGATAATGAATAAATGTACTGGTAAATGTAAAGAAGACATCACTCAGGGAGAATCTTAGTGAATGAAGCTCCTAGCCAGACTCCGCCCTCTTACAGCTATATCCCCGAGACCTACAATTGATGAATCCAGGCCTGACAAACTAGTTGTTATATGTGATTCACCATGGAGGGGTACAATGAGACCACCATCCAGGTCATACATTGTAACCAGTCCATCAACTTAGTCAGCCCCTAAACATTCAAACTCAATGTACTAGTTATCTTGCCTTGCCAACCCCACAGAAGTGTTTACGGAACTGCATAAAGATTTCATACTTGTTGGATACATTTACCTGAGCTATTAAATTTGAGCCACTAAATGCACATACATATGCAACATTTAACTGAGAGAAAAGGTGCCAATGCTGTCGGAATACTGAAACCAAACAACTTACAACAGCAGGGCAAGTGACTTTAAAAAACTAACTTGTCCTGACTAATTTTCCCCTTGCCCTGATATTTAAGACATAATCATGATGATGTAATTATGAAAGAATAAATCAGCATGGTATTTGATGTTATTACTGGACTATTTATCAAGGAGTGATAAATACCAAAGAAAGGTAACTTTATTTTATTATCATTGCGAAATTTACTTCATTTCGTTCTCGTATCGTGTTAAATTTTAATAGCTACATTTTGAGCAGATATGAAATGAAACCCTACTTTATTTGCAGTTTGAATCTTTGTGCACTGCAGAAATTAACTGGTAGCCTACGGACAAATAAAATACCAGTATTTGATCGCCAAAATGACAACTGACTTGTCCTGGGTGTCGGGCG